GCAGCTAAGGCTCGCTTCTTTCTTCTCTTTGAGCTCCTTCTTCTCCTCCGCCTTCTTGGCCTTGAACTTCTCGAAGTCCTGGCACTGAAGGTTCCCGGTGCTTAGTGCTGAAAAGCGCACCACTCTCACAGGCCTGGAGGTTCACGTTCGACTGGTCCTTGGACCAGTACAAGTTGTTGTGAATGAAAAGGTAGGCAACCTCGGAGTCATCCTCGCAGCAGAGTTTCCCGCTAAAATGGGGCTCGGGAAAGGCCAATGGTCTTCAAGCGGGGCGAGTTGTAGAGAGAGCAGATGTTGCAACATGCCTAAGCCTAAGCTCATCAATGTCCTTGCAGTTGGAAAGAGTGTCTTTAACACCGAGCTTCTTCATGCCCTCGATGTCAATTTTGGTGGTGTGTCCGATGGTAATGGAACCCAGCTTGACTGGTTCTGTGACCAACACATCATGGAGCTGGCCCTGGTTGATCTTGTTCATGCCCTCATAGCAGCTCGTGCTGGTTCCCTCACCGATGTAGGCCAGGGAGCCAAGGTTTTGTTGCAGGATCTGCAAGACCACACCGTAGGTGGCAATCAGTCCCTTGGTCATACCCACCACGTCTTCCTTGCAAACCGCGGACGGCACGCAGTTAGCAGCATACTGATGGTCAGCATGGTCCATATTCTGGAAGACGCTGACATAGGAGCAGCCGGCGTCACCAGTCTTGCCCATGCTCCCCACGGCAACAGGACTGCATCCGTATGTCGCGGAGATCTGCTTCGCAACATCGCCTGTGCTTCCGTAGATCTTGTTGGTGTTGATGTCGTTCTGCACTTCTGCCACGTTGCCTGCCAGGAAGTTTTGCTAGGAAATTCCCCTTGCGAAAACACCAAGCAGCAGAACATGAGATGCTTGCTTGGAGTGTCGGGGCCTACGTACTCCCCGCAGCAGCTGGCCATCAGCCTAGGATCGCCAGTCCCCACCTTGCCTCCCACAAAGGAAGATTGAGCAATTCTGACTCAAAAAGATTGAGAAATTTCGACTGAGGTGCTGCAACTCACCGAGGGCTGGAGCGGTGCCCTTCACGCCCGCAACGAAGTCCTGCCGGCCAGACGTGCTAGGTGCTAGGGTTCCGTTCCTTAGAAATCTTGAGGCCCGTCCTGGAGGGGCATCTCTGCGAGCTCCTGGTTACCAACAGATAAAGATGCAAAATCGGACCTCCTTTGCAGTCCGACCCCGGTCCTGTCCACTGGCTGTCAAAGCAGAACGGGCATAAGCGGAAGCGCGGGCGACGAGCCCAAGGCACACGACCTGCGAGGCTGAAGCTGACCAGACATGGCTTCGAGGCGAGATTGCAAACCGCACAACTGCACGAACCAACGAAGCTGAGCTTCACGCCGGCGTCAACTTGGAAAACACCATCTCGCGCTTTTTTGCTGAGAGACGTTACAGGCCCTTGATCCGATACAAAATGCTGGCAGAGAGGGGTTCCAGAAGATGCGAACAAGAAGTGGGATCCCGCTCAAGGTATGCCTCAAGTTTGCCTGCATGTACCGGATGAACCCTGTGCTCAGCCCTGTCAAGTTGATCTCGTGCACATTCCCGTACTGAACCAATCCACATGCCTTGGCTAACGCAGGCTGCCCACTGTTTCGTCCTGGTAAAGCAGCCCAAATGCTGCTCCAGGAGACGGATGCAGACATGACGTGACATGATGACCAAGATAGAGGCCACCCGCTGCCAACACCAGCATCAGCCCACCACCCAGCAGCATCAGCCAAGGGTGAGGAACCAGTTGGCATGCTGCAGCTGGGCATCAGAAGAGTAGCGCTTTGTCCTCCCTTTAGCTTCTGAATGCAGGAAACGGCCTCCGGCCGGTGTTCAAGCACGTTACAAGTATTCGTAGGCGTAGGCAAAGCGAGGGCTTGCCAAAGCTCGAGAACCACAACATATTGACATACTACAACCCCATTCCTTCTGCTCATTATTGGCTCACAGAGTCCACGGGTCAGTCTGGTTGGCAAAACCTGCGAGCTTCCAGAACAAGTAGCGCTGCAGCTGCGCACGTTTTTGGGCGCCAGTTGCAGTCGAATTGAAGCTAAAGGGTGACACCGGAAATCCCGCTTCCAAAGTACCGGACTTACTCCTGTCAACAGCCCGTCTTGCTATGGGCAGATAGGACCAGCAGCAAATGAGACGAGACTGAAAGCGGGGACTTTGCAATCAAGACTTCAGTGGTCTAGATCCTGCTGCTGGCGGGCTTCGCGAAGCCAACAGCATGCGGCAGCAGCTGGGCAAGGGTTTGGAACAACACTGTCACACCGCGATTATGAAAAATGTCTCAAGACAGATCTTACCCTGAACCCGCTGCGTGTCGTACCAGATCGCATACGCCTTTTCAGACGACGACCTCAGACAATCTTCGATCCTTTGCGCCGGGGCAATTCCAAGCAGCCGAATCTCTTCATGCAAGGATCTAAGAAATCAGGATGGTGCCCCCTTTCATGTGACTCTTGCTCAAGTTAATGATTCGCTCAAGTTCTTGCACCTCCCAAAGTTTCAGTGCCCGTGTCATGAGAACATCATCCTGAAGGGGTAGACTGAATGATGCATGTAGCCGCGTCAGAATCGAAAGCATGGCAACATCACTATAATGTCATGACGATATGCTGGCGGAATGTCATTGAGATCTGGTGCCACAAAACAGAACACACTCAGCATGCGCCTTGGCCTCCTTTGGCTTCGACGTCTTCCTTGGAGTGCTTAACTGGTCACCATTGCTTTTGTGCTTCCAGCTTCTTACTCTGAGTTCTCCCTTAAAACAGGACAGTCTGAAGTTGTGCTTGTGGCCTTGATGGAACTGAAAAAGTCCGAGTAGGGCGAATAGCAACATAAGCAGCAGTAGTATGAGCAAGAGTTTGCGCAAGAGGGCTAAACAGAACCAGAAGCAGTGCTAGTTTTTACGCTAGTAGGAGAGGAAGGAACGGCAAAGATGGTGGCAACACTGGAAGCAACAGCCGCAAAACAGAGAAACACGAATCAGAGAGTTCTGATCATCACCACGATCAGGCCGGCTGTTTCGGCCCGACCGTGCCGACCTGAGACGCAAGTATGGCCGACCTGAAAAGGCCTGTCCGGCAACCTTAAATGTGAATCTAGCAGCGTTCCACCACGACCATGCACCTATTCCGATGGCGCAAGCTCCCATAGTAAGGATGACCTCCAAACCGAACTGCCAACCTGGGAACCGAACGGCAGGAACCGAAGCATTGTGGACTCGAACCATTCCAGAATCGAGCCGCTGCGAACCATACAAAGGCTCCTATTCAGAACCCCATAGCATAGGGCTAAGTATATGGGTTTAAAGGACAAGGTAACTCTTCGGGGGAGCCACAAGGCAGGAACAAATAATTGAGAGGACGAATTTCAACGCAAACACACCCCACAGATCAACACAAAACGAAACACGTCAAACCACTATCGGTTTTTTCTAACCATACAAGGCTTTATACCGGGTTTTCGAATTCAGCAAACGCGGCTCCCAAAGCACGGTGAGTTAACACGGCTTACCCTTTCATGCAAGGTTAGGTTCCTACAAACGGAACCTGATGGGACCGTGGCCACGCTGCATAGTTGCTGTACCCTCAAGAATTCAACTCAACATGCGAATTACTTATAAGCCCCTATGCCCCCAAACAGGGTCCTTTGATTTAGCAGCTTTAATAGCTCCAACACGCCTCCTGCACAAAAGCTGAATGCCCACCAGTCAGAGTCTTGCCCTTGCAAACCTTTTTTTGAGAATGACCTTAGCCTTCCCCACCTGCCGCGCAACCATCTTGCGGACGCGTTGCTCCGTATTCTTCGGTGCTTCCTTCTTTACAAAATTTTCACTGTGCTTGTAGGCTTTGGAATTCAGGGCTTTGTCTCGAAGACTCAGAGGCAATGTTATATTGTGACGTATTCAGGTTCCGCTAGTAGCCTCCGACCTTTCCTCACCACCTCTAGGCTACGCCAGCAACCTTCTCAGCACCAGCTTTCTCGGAGCCTGCCTTTGCACAATTCCCCGATGGCTTTGAATAATTTTGATACTGATCCTACTTGGCTGCTAGGTCACTGGTGCTTCTTGACGTCCTTCATAGGAGCCCCTCCAAAATCCTACTCAAAGCGCAGTCCTCAGGTTGGAGGTCCATAATCTTCTAGCATAACGTGGCCACATGTTCAACAGCGAAATGAGAATGCTCCACGCGAGAGCTCAATTTACGAGCAAAATTTGAGGACGCCCTACTTGGGAGTTCAATTTAGTGTCAACACGTGAGAAAACTCCACGCGAGAACCAATTAAGTGTCACAACGTGAAAAACTCCACGCGAGCGCTCAATCTGGTCGGATGCTAGAAATGAGAATGCAATGTTGCAAATAACCATAACGGCAACGATAAAGTCAGAAGACGCATGATTGACAAGTATGATTCGAATGAAAATAATGATAAGATACCAACCAAGAATAATTGTGTGAACCATAATAATCCGCATAACTCCTCCTTACCTTGCCTTACGGCAAACATGGGGATGACATGATCTTTTCTATCGTAAGCATGGATGACTTGAAAGACCATGTGGGCGCAGGGGTCGCAGCCCCCCCCATTTGCAAACAAAATGATCCGCGCAGCCTTCCCGTACTGCAAACTTGCTGATGACATGTTTCTTGTACCACGGGCATGAAACGCCTTAAAAAAGCCTGGGGGTTGGGGGGCGCCAAACAAAATGATCCGCGTAACCTGCCTTTGCTGCAAACATGGTGATGACATGATGCTTGCTTTTTATTGCAAGCATGATCGCCTTGAAAGGCTAGGGGGTCGTAGCCCAGTGTTGATGACATGGCTTTTTTGCGGTGAGCATGGATGACTTTAAAAACGGAGGTTGGGGGGGCGTCCCCCCCCCCCTCTTGCAAACAAAGTGATCCGCATGACCTTCGTTTGCTGCGAACATGGTGGTGACATGCGCTGTTATCGTAAGCATGGATGGATGGAACACAGCGGGGTTGGGGGGAGAAGCCATGAAGCCAGGAAGAAAGCCAAGAAGCCAAGAAACAGGAGAAGCCAAAAAGCCAGAAAGCCAAGAAGCGAGCAAGCCGCAAAGCCTACAAGGCGCAAAGCCAGAAGCCAACAAGCCGGAAAGCAGAGAACCCAAAAAGCCGAAAAGGAACAAATACAAAAAGAAACAACAACACATAACAATACTCTTCCGACAAAAAAAAACAAAAAACAGAAAGCCTCACTGTAGGTGCTTTGGCCATTGGCAATCGTTTTGTGGCTTCATGTGCGTGGCCACGGGCCGTGGTGCTGATGAGGAAATCTGTAAGCTATCTGCTGCAGTGTGGGCCCTTCAGCATCAGTTGCAGCATCAGGCGAAGGGTAGACAGGGTAGACTCAGGGAACAGCCTGACCGATAATCTGTTTGGCTTCAACAGGCCTCCTTGACGACCTTGGCGGGTTGGGGCGCAGCACCGACCTGTTCGCGGCAGCTTGGGAATGCAACCTGCAAACCCAAACATGTGCTCTGCTTCTAGCCTTGTCGAGCGCGGCTTCCGCTGTCTCAGTGTCCTTGGCCGCGACGGCGGCCGCGATCATCTCCCTCAGATGTGGGATGATTTGGCCGATCACAAGTTCCACCCACCTGCAGCTACCGCAGCTAAGGCTCGCTTCTTTCTTCTCTTTGAGCTCCTTCTTCTCCTCCGCCTTCTTGGCCTTGAACTTCTCGAAGTCCTGGCAGTGAAGGTTCCCGGTGCTTAGTGCTG